ACTCTTTTTTTGGGTATCTGAACTTCCCCGGAGAACGGCGGGATGGCCAATACCTGTGGTGTCGACCTGGGGCAGGAGCCGGAGGAAGACGGGCCGGGCGTAGGACGGCAGCACCTTCTGCAGCTCCTGGTACAGGACGTTGGGGTTGACTTTCGCTTTGGGATCGGCGATGGCCGCCATCCCGGCTTTGCCCTCCACCCCTGAAACAGGAGAGCACAGCTCGGGTGGAGACGGCGGGAGGAGGGAACGTTTAGCAGATGCGAGGAGCAGGTATTTTTTTTCCCCCACCCTCCCGCCGTGTCTCTTCGAGGGGAGGTGCGAACGTGCTGAGGAAAAGCCGATTTAATACACCAGGGGCTCCAAGCCCGTTGGCAACACGTCCCCTCGACTCCCCGTTCCCGCGTTACACCCACGGAACGGTCTTTGCGCACCAAGAGCTTCCGCAAAACTCAGTTCATAAAAACCTCCCTTTTTTAAGACAGAAATAGAAGTTACACCACCGGATCTCCGGTTATCCCTACCGCTCCAAACCAACGCGTCAAACTCCGCTGTTTGACCACCGATTTCTCCCCGTTCTGACGCGGATCCGGTACGTTTACCCAATATTTTTTCTTCCTCCCTCCATCCCGAGAGCTCCGACCTGACGTTTTACCTGGTACTTCCACTCCATACACTGCGACGTCCGTCTGGTTGAGGACGTGACTCAGCGTTCCCTCCACCTCCGTGGTGGAGACGTTCTCTCCTCGCCATCGGAAGGTGTCCCCGCTGCGATCTTTGAAGTACATGTAACCGAGTTCGTCCATCACCAACACGTCTCCTGGGAGGGGGGAGAGGAGACACCACAAACCAACCTCAGGATTTGAGTTCGGGAGCGCTCGGGGGCTGCCTCACCGCCCTCCGCTCGGCGTCGCGCCGTTTTCTTCCCAGAGAAGGAAGACAAATATCTCCCCCTCTTTAAAAAAAAATCTTAATTTTTTTAATTAAATCCAGAGCAGAGCGTTTTGAAGTTGCCAACACACCTTTTCACAGGCTCTTTTAGGTTGGAAAAGACCTTCAAGACGATCGATTCCTCTCAAAAATCCCAGATTTGGGTCTCTCGAGACCACGTTTGCCCGAGGAACGTCTACAATCGGTACCTGACAGGTACGCCTGGTCCCCTTTCCGGAGCACGTTGTAAGCGATCTTCTTGGTGGTGGCACTCTCGCTGACGTAGCCGTCGAACCGCCGCAGGGGATCCTGTTGATTTATCTGACCGACGAGCAATCCCGGCTCTCCTGCAGGGAACGGGATCAGCGCATGGTGACACCGCCGCAGGGCGTATTTCACGAGAAGCTAAACTTTTCGCACACCAAAAGACGTTCAGTCGAACTGATCCATCTTTGGAGGAAGGAACTGGAAGCAAAAACCTGCGTACGACACTCGAAACCCCTAAAACCAGCCAGAGGTTTGGGGTTGTTTTTTTTAATTTTATTTTTTTGTTTTATTTAGAACAAAAAGCTTTGTTGAGGTGAACCGCTCACCTGGGCGGCAGGGGATACACAGCCCGCCGGAATCCCGGATCAGCTCCATCGTGTCCTCGTTCACCTTCACCAAACGGATGGGATAAACGTTAGGCAAAATCCGACTGTTGAAACCACAGGCACCGACCTGCCCAAAGACAGACGGAAAAAAAAAAAACCCAAACCAAACCCAAAATTAAGCTTTTTCCCACGTTTTTGTGCATGCCAGCCTTAATTATCAATTTAGCACCCTGCCACCCCTTGCGAGAGGGCCCGGAGGAGCCAGCAGAGCTTCTTTCCTCCCCGCGCGGCCCTCGCGGCACCCTCTTCTTCCTCACCTTTCCGTCCAAGTTGGCGATGCTGCAGTTACACTCCGTGGCTCCGTAGAACTCGCCGATCTGCTTAATTCGGAAGCGCTTTGTGAAGTCCTCCCATATGGTGGGTCTCAAACCATTGCCCACCGCCAGCCGTACGCAGTGTTGGGTTTCGGATTCTCGGACCGGCTGATTCAGAAGATACCTGCAGATTTCCCCGATATACTGAATAATCTGAAGCAGTAAACACAAAAACATAGCTCAGGCTTCAGGTAAACCTTAGAACGCCCTGGAAAAAGCCGACCACGAGGCCACCGGCGTCGGCGTACCTCGCGGAACTACAACACGTCAGGCATTTTAATAAGCTGTGAGGTTTCGCAAGTTCAATCTGGGATTTCTCGCCACAAAAAAAAAAAAAAGAAAGGGGGAAACGTCGCTCCCTGGAGCACACCGGGAGGGATCACCCCTCAGCGCGTAAAGAAAAACCCTCGTGGTTTAGGAGGCGACAGAAGACTTCTAGAAGGATTAGGGGACCACTGGGCAGTCATAAACTAACAGCTTGGCCCAGGAAAACGCAGTCGGAGCAGAGATCCGATTACCGGCTATAAATACTGCCGCTGGGGGAAGGGCAAAACACACACCGGGGAGGAGAAAACCGCTTAAATTAGAAGGTAACGTCGACACCAACACAAACAGATGCTTATCGGCTGCGGGCTGCCAGGAGAATTCCTCTGCAGAGATTCCCCGGGCAGTTAAATTCCGACGGAGCTTTCCCGCAACGCTACGGACGCAAACTTGTGTTTCGGAAGCTGGTCCCGCACAAAGAGGAAGCAGGAGAGGGCGGATGAGAGACCTTTTCTAAAGCCTCTTAATCCCGCACGCCTAAAGCGGCGCTGGCAATTTGAAGGCGCCTCGATATCCGACGAGGGAAGAGGGAATTACCGATAATTAAGCAGCGAAACCTGGCGCTCTGGAGTCGAGCACCAGAACTCGCGACCGCGGAGCCCTCACCGTGCATCTGTATTTCGTGCAGTCGTCCCAGAAGCGACTGGCCGAGAACTTCTTCCTGATGACCACGGTGAGGCCGTGGATCAGACACTGGCCGACCCCCATGATGTTACCTGGAAAACAGGGATCGCGGGCCGGGAACCATCCGGGCTCCGTTCGCTCACAAGGACGCGGGAAGGAGAGGTCTCGCCTCCGCCGAGGAGGACGCTTACCCGCGGAATGGTAGAGCGGGAGGCAGTTGTAGAGGACGTCCGTCGGGCGCATTTTGTAGGCGTAGTAACCAAAGGCGGCGATGCGGTAATACCTGCGAGAACGCGGCGCGCGCGCTAAGCGAGCGAGACGGGTGAAACTCGGGGTTTCGCGACGTGAAACGCACCTCAGGAGGGAAATATCTCCTCGGGTCCTCACCTGCTGTGCACCACGATGGCGGCTTTGGGCATTCCCGTCGTTCCTGACGTGTAGATATAGAAGAGCCGATCTAGAAGGACGAAAAGAGGCGTCAGGCTGTTGTCAACCCCCTGAGAAAATCCCCACAGGGTTTGTTCTGCGCTTTAGGCTTCGTTCCCAGCGGCCGAGGAACGGCTTTGACACGGTGACAGCGAGCTGCGAAGGCCGACACCGTCGCGGAGCTGCATCCTGACGGCGAATCCGCATCTTGTCCGTAACGGTCGATACGGGAACCGGCGCGAAGAGTTTGCAGAGCTCCGCGGACGCGACCTGCGCACCTTTATGCGCATTCCCTAGGACCAGCCTAGCCCTCCAGCTCAGACATTAATTCCAAATCAATCGAGAAAGCAAGGTCTCACCCCGAGTCTGACGGTAGGGCAGGATATTTAAGACCGTACGATTAAAAAAATAATCTAAAGGAAACGGCTCTTCGCAGCGTCATTCCTCCGACTGCAAACTAAGTACCGAACCAGAGCCTCCTGTCTCAGGGATCTCAGATGCTCTTAATTGCCTTAATTACAAAATACAGAGCAGAGGCCAGTCTGCACCTCGCCCAGCTCTCGCATCACATTGCGAAATAAACGTCGTTGATAAAATTACCGTCTAAACCTTTGCCGGGAACCTGAATCGGGGGCAATTTCGATGTTGTACTCAAAAGAGGATCAAGATGTCTGGTCTCCGCAGGAACGACGTCCGGGTTGTAGTCGCCGGAGCAGAACTTTGCCATGTTCTTCCCCAACATCCCGTTCACTTCGGATATTGCTGCAAGACAAAAGTCTCTTTTGCAACAAACGGAACGCTCTAGGCAGCGGCAAATAAAATAATCTGTGTAACATCCTCTTGTGCCCCAAAACCATGGAAGGACCTGAAGAACCAGGGATTCCTCTAAAATACTCACACCCGTCCAGCTAACGGCCCCAAAAAAACCTACGCAAAATTGCCTCTCCCCACGACCCAGCGCGTCACGATCTTCCAACAACCTAGAACGGTTTCAAGGAGCCGATTCAGAATGATAAATCCCCAGATCTAGCAATAACCATCGGAACGGAGCTCGTTAGAGAAGCAGGGATGTTTTTAAAGCCAGCATCCACCGCCAAACCTGTCCTGCGGCAGAAAGCGCGCCATTAAGCAAGGAGTATGAACAGAGCAAGAGAAAAAAAATACGCCTTGCGGCGGACAAATACTCTTTTCGCTTTTAGAGTACTCGCTCTCCGTGTTATTCAGGACCAAGAGAACAGTTCACGACTTGCCCGACGGCGTACGAAGGCCCGAGCGACTCACCCGAAGACAGCTCCCCTCCGAAGATCACGGCTTTCGCACCCGAAGTCGTCACGCAGTAAACCAGAGAATCCAAGCGCAAATTGAAATTGATAAGAGCCGCTTCGATACCGATTTTTGCCATCCCTAACCAGAGGCCGACAAATTCGGGGCGGCTCTCCATGAAGATGGCGATGACGTCCCCCAGCCGGAAGCCTTGCTGGTAGAAGTAGTTGGCCACGGCGTTGGAGTACTCGTCGAGCCTCCTGAAGGTCCACTGCTCGCCGGTGGCCTCATAAATCAGGGCTACTTTGTCGGGGTGCCTGCGGACGACGTCCTGGAACATCTTGGGGATGGTGCTTTTGGCTTTTTGATGCCTCCGTAAGTTGTACTTGACTCGTAAGAGCACCGAGAGGCCGCTGCAGCAAAGGAAGAGGGTAACAAGTGAATTTTCAGCACGATTTCTGAATTAGAAGGGACGCGGGCAGGGCGCGTGTACTCCACGGGGGTGTCTCACCGGCATCCCGCTGTCCTCGGACAGCCGAAGCGTTATTCTGAAACTGGAACTTTTAATCACTGCTGCTCTACAGAAAACAACGGCTATTTGAACATTACAGCAACTGTTCTGGTACCTTCCACGCTATGAAACACAGAGAATCCACCTCCACGCTAACAGCGATTCAAGCAACCCCACAGAAAACATTAAAGAGGATAAATTACGTCTTTTAACGATGTCTTCTACCATCCTAATACAAAAAAAAAAAAAGGACTTTGCAACTATTGCTTTTAGCAAACACGCTTCACACTGGAAGCGACTTTCTTGCCGGGATGTTTTGCAGCATCTTCGTGCCGTTTCATCGTACCCCTCGGGATCGCAAAGCCTTTAAGTGACAAAGCCAGCCCGACCCTTCGATAACAACGCACGGCCTCAGCTTCAAGAAAACAAAGCCAAAGGCTTCCCCTTTCACCCAAGACGAGAGGACTGCTGGCGTACTCCTTTCCTGTGAGTCAGTCTCTGCCGCAGTCCTGGGATGACAGGAAGCGAAGCTATCCAAAAATAATTAATAAATAATAATAATTCTTGGATGGCAAGCTGCTTTAAAGACGGTGGTGCCTTATCAAGGACAGAACTGTGCCTCTATGGATATTTGATACTGTGAAGAGCAACTGCTCAACAAAAGAACAAACCAGACCGCTCTAACTGGTTTTTTTTGGGTTTTTTTTTTTTTTGTCTTCCGCAATTTACATAATTATTTTAAGTCTCCAGGGCAGCAGCTGCAAATTAAACCTCAACGCGGTCCAAGCTGGATGGCAGCGAAAGTTGGTGTCCGAACTTCAACTGTCTCAATTACGCCTTCCTGGAGGAAACTATTTTTAGGGGCGCGTTGGCTCCCTCGCTTTGGCTATCGGTTATAATTCAATGCGAAAATAAGTTTATTGAAGTAGGCTACCGTCACACCGCCACCACAACGAGGACAGCGGGTCTGGGCGAACGTACCAGATCTTGTTTCCTTCCCGGAGGTAGGAAGATGGCAGCAGTGTTTTTCTACCATTAAAATAGGAAATTGTTGGGTAACAAGGGTTTGGAAGAATCCCCAGAAACTTGAAAGGTCATTTAATATTAGCACTTAAAAACCCCCGCGACTCTCACGGCTGAATGTCGAGAGCAGGAGCCTCGCCGAAGGGGGAAGGGTGCGTTTCAGAAACGAGTTGTTGGCAATGGTCACGCCGAGCCGGGCTCTCACGGTGACCTTACGCCGCGCTGTGCCAAACCCAGAACAGAGGAGCCTTTTCACTGCTGAGCTGCACTTTCCAGATACTTAAAGGGCTTTATTCTGCCCAGTTTATTTTCTGCCGTTATTCCCAGCTTGCCGGGCAATCGGGAGGAAACAGCTCTTCAAAGCGCAGTGACAGCCCCAGCGAAGCTGGCAATCACCGGAGCCCTAAATCCTTTGGAATAAAGGGCCCGTCCTCAGGGAGGCCTAAAAAACGGCGGAACTAACCACGACGGCGGCGGCGGCCTCCCGGGAGATGGGGGGCTGATGGAGACCCACCGCCCTTCACGCCGCAAGCACCTAGCTC